GTTCGTGGGGTTCATGGCAGCCTGGTTCTTGGCAGCCTCACCGATCAGGCGCTCCTTGTCGGTGAAGGAGACGAACGAGGGCGTGGTGAACGACCCTGCTCGTTGGCGATGATCTCGACATTGGTACCCTCGTACGTAGCAACGCAAGAGTAGGTGGTACCTGAAAGGGCAATGGTCAGCGAAGGCTCTTGTTGGAACTGGACGCTCGTGGTTGTTCTGTTGGCCAGGAATTGGCAGGTCAACTGCGAAAACAATTCGAGGCCGAGCGTGAGGCGGTGGGCGCCTGTATGCAGAAATACAACAAAGACGAAACAGCGCAGCATAGTATCACATGTACGTACCCAGATCGATGCCAATGGCACCGTCGTAGACTTCGTCAGCCATGATGATAGATGTGTGATGGGGGGGGAGGATGGGGAGGTGAGATGTTGTAAAGGTGAGGCGGCGCGCGGGGTCTAGAGACAGGCGTAGAAGTAGACGACGGTCGGATGGGCCCTTTTGAATTTTTTGGTCGGCGGCTGGGGTGGACCAGAAAAAAAAAGTGAGAATTTGGTGCTCGGGGGTGTTGCCGGGTGGCCAGAGCGCTCAGAACTTTTTGCCATGCGCGGGGCTCAGAAGTGCGATTCCAGTGCGAACCCTCTGCCGTGCTAGACCGCCATTGGTTGGCAGTTGCCCGCCGCCCCCAACCCTCGCCTATCTTATCGCTGCCCCACGCTCAGATTCTTTCTTCCTTCACCGAGGCCCGGACTCACCGATTCCATGAATCGCCGCATCTTGAGCCGACTACCTACTTAAGGTACATAAGATAGGTGCTGCAGGTACCAATAACGCGCCGCATCTTCTGGGTATCGGAGGCCTGAATCTATGGAGAAGCCGCGCCTCCGTCAATCGCCACGCTCTTCGACAGTCACCATGGTGCCTGTACAGGGTCCCCGCGATGCACAATAGCCCACGCCAGAAACAGTGCTACAAGCATGGCCCCCAGGTATCGCCAGAACTGCCCCGCAAGCGACCTCACCCCCCCCTCAGCCTTCGCCCTTTGCATGGTTGCCCACTTCGATAAGGTAATGCTGTGCTCCTTCTTCTCGTCCATGTCATCCTGGAGTCCATGGTAGTACACAGCTCGCTTTTGTTGCAGTCGCACCTTCCAGTATCCGTCTGAAGCTACTGTGTACCGCCACGCTGATGGTGCGATGGCGATCATGACTCTCGCGCGACGGGGCTTATAGGAACCCCTTTTGCGGCAATACTGTTCAACCCTCTTCAGCCCCTTTCGGTAAACCCACTCGTCAAAGTTTTCCGTATTGCTTGATGGAAGATCGCACTCCCCTGGCGTCGGCCATTCAAATTCGATGATGGACACAGACCGGCGATTGCACACAGCAAGCCACGCTGTGAACGCTACTATGCCGTGGATCTGCTGGTGAATCTCGCCTATGGAGGGTACCTCGTCGATCCTTGTCTTTCTTATCCAGGCGATGACCGGTAGGAACGCCCTCGTGATGCCAATGGCCGTCTCGTCGACCTGCTCCCAGAACAGTGGGGGTGCTCGGCCTTTCAAAAACATGTTGATATACTCGGCTCGCAACCTTGTTCGTCCGAATCCTGCGAGATTGATTAATACTGTTCCCCCGCTTCAAGACATTACATGTAGTACCTTCTTCGTTGATAAGTGTGTCGTCCTGTTCGGTAAGGATTTTCATCTGCTCCTTACTAGCGCCGAATAGGAGCGACTTGAAAGTCATTTCATGTAGCATCTTGTTCATCACTGCTGTCAAGAAGTGCTGTGTTTCCCTCTTGAATATGAGTAGTGTATCCCATGGATACTTGAATAACGGGTCAGGCTGAGCTACTAAGGACGTGTACTGCTCCAACGTCACGTCGCCCTGATTAGCTGTCGGTAGCGACCAGGGCGAGACCTCGTATGGCATGCGCCTTGGACCGAGAACCAGCGTTGTTTCCATAAGGGCATAGATTTGCTGGAGCATGAGCAGGTATTGATCCTCGAAGAAGAAATCATCCAAGCTATCCGTAGGCATGTCCCATTTCAAGTCTCGACGTTCAATGCGAAAGCCATGGAGATTGTTGATGTCAGGGGCTCGATTTGTATAGCGAGATCGATCTGATGACAGAGGCTTGAGGTTCCCGTTCCGACCACCCGACACAGACTGGGAAGTCTGCCCCGAGGAATCGCTGTCGCGGTTGCTCATTTAATGCTGAGCTTCTTCTTGGTTGCTGCCGTGCTGGCCGATGCTTGTTGTGTAGGAAGCAAATCTGCCGTTGATGGCGAATCGCACTCAGATTGATGATTCAAGACAGATAGGGCTGTCACAATTTGACTTGGGGGTCTTCTAATTATGAGATTTCACCTCGACCTCTGGCAGCATATGATTCGTAGTGTGCTGTTCGTGGACGATGGCTGCGCGGAAGCGTTTGCCCGAGCCTTTGTCCTGAGTGAGGTTCACATTGCACCTAAGACGGTTCTCCTTGTTCCCACGAGTGCTATTTGGCCGGACTGGGCCCGAGTAAACACGTTCTTTCATCTAAGAATTCCACACGAAAAGGGAGATCGATAGTTTAAGGGTGAGTCTAAGGCAACGAACAAAGGCGATGATGATGCATTTCTTGATGGCTAATTCCCCAAGCCTTGTTGATTTCACGATCATAGAGTCTTCTGTGTACCATGGTATGTCGTTCTTCGCGGGGTTCACAATTTGGGCTTGACAGACAAGACTCAGACCCCTGAATTTCACAAAAGCACAAGTCAATCAAGGCCAGTTTGAAGGTACCATCTGAGGCGGGTATGACTGCGGGGCAAGAGAGAAGCCCCATGCAAAACTTCTTCACAGACAAGCTATCCATTCATGTAGTAAACACAATCTTAGCAATGCACTTGGAGGGATGCAAAACTGTATATCAAGGTTATGGTGGAGTTGTCGGAGAAATTACCACGACCCCAGATCCATCTCCAACAAGTGATGTCCAGGGCTGTACAGGTAGCCCACGAGGTCCCACTGCATGACATAAGCAACTTGTCGTGGGCACCTGTGTGCGCGGGCCATGGGCTGGCCGCACCGTGCCGCTTGGGCACTTTTTTTCGCGACCACTACGAGAAGCAGCATCCTGCGCAAACGGTAAACCCCAATCCCAACCTCGTCATCGCAACTACCTCAACTCGCCCCCTTCTCCATCAAGGCCCTGTACTCCGACTGCCTGGTGCATTATCGGATACCTCACGAATAAGGAAGCAACGAATCAGCTGTCTTTCCTCCACGTCACCTCACGACCCCCTGGTGTACCCCACCGACACTTCCTCGAGGCTTCGCACGAACCGCAAGTCTTACCTCGACGACCTGCCTGATCCCTTGGCCCGCCGTTCGACTTTCGATCCCGTCTGCATCGCAACCAAACTGTCTTGTTCACCTGACAAATCACCTCCCTAAGGTGTATCGACAGCATCTGGCGCCCGCGCACCCATCCCACCCCTCTACCGACATCACACACAAACTGCCCAAGATGGCTGTTGTCGAGAACCCCACGGCCAACGAACAGGTCGACCTGACCACTATTCCTGTCTCTCCTGGCGGTGACCAGCCCGAAACTGGCGCCACCAGCTCCAGCGACGATGTTAAGACTGTCTTCCATGACAAGGAGAACTTCAACGTCAAGCACCCCCTCCAGAACAAGTGGACTCTCTGGTTCACCAAGCCACCCAGCGGCAAGGTTTGTCGCTTTCTATCAATCCTTATCATGGCCGTTGATATGCTGACCACATCATGCAGGGCGACAACTGGAACGATTTGCTCAAGGAGGTCATTACCTTTGATTCCGTGGAGGAGTTCTGGGGCATCTATGTACGCAATACTTTTGACACGGCCACGGCCAGCCAACCATGTCTAACCTCTTGCAGAACAACATTGCGCCCGTCTCCGAGCTGGCCCTGAAGTCTGACTACCACCTCTTCAAGGCTGGCGTCCGTCCCGAGTGGGAGGACGCTCAGAACAAGCACGGCGGAAAGTGGTCCTACCAGTTCAAGGAGAAGCGCAACGTCGCCATTGACGACCTGTGGCTCCATGTCATGCTCGCTGCCATCGGCGAAACCCTGGAGGATGAGGAGGATGGCGAGGTCATGGGCGTCGTCGTCAACGTTCGCAAGGCCTTCTTCCGTGTCGGCGTCTGGACTCGCACCATAGGAAAGAGCATTCCAGGCCGTGGCGACGGTGATGTGGCCGGCGGCAAGGGCCGCACCCCCGAGAAGGGCAAGAAGGTCCTCCTCGAGATTGGCACCAAGTTCAAGCAGCTGCTTGACCTCCCCGCTAACGAGGCCGTCGAGTTCTCTGGCCACACCGACTCTGCACACAGTGGTAGCAGTCGTGCCAAGGCCAAGCACACCGTCTAAAGAGGCTGCCGCAGGCAGCGTAAGAAATTAAAGTTTTTGCAGTATTGCGACGCGGACTGGGGGGCATTCTTCTCATACCCGTCATCGAAATCTGATCATTGTCTTTGTCTCGCAAGGCTTTTGTCCGCTCGTCGCCGCACGATAGGATGCGGAACCTTGCAGAGCCATCCGCAAAGAAGAAAACTCTGTGTCGTTTGGGGCGGGATGAGTTATTGGAGGGCATGGCGTTCCCCCTCGGCATGGGGTCTTAATCAAGGGCAGATTCGGGGGTGAGACATCCATCACCTCTCGGCATGATCTGCCTTGTACTTGCTCAAGGCGTTGCCCTGGACCAGATAGCTTTTCAGCTTTGGTAGATGGCCACGATCGATAGTACATAGGCAGTGGAGATCCCAATAGATACTTAGATCGGTCACAATTGCGTCTGTAACCTTGCGGCTTCAGAGGAGTCATTAAAACAACAGCAATATCTATAGGTTTGGTACATCATGTTACATGCTAATACAAGAGTGGTCTACACCAGTTTTTTACACCTCATCGTCGCTGAACTGGTCTGCAAATACCTCCTTAACCAGTTCCTTCTTGTTGATTTTTCCCATGGCATTTCTGGGAATGTGGTCCACAACCTTCAGGACCTGCGGGATCTTGTAGTTCGCCAGTCGTCCCCGCAACGCCCGTCTCATGTCCATAGGCGACCACGTCTTGCCCTCAGGCAGCGCCTCGTTGTCAAGGATGACGACAGCGCCGACTTTTTGCCCCCACTTGCCAGAAGGGACGGCGACCACAGCCGCCTCCGCAACCACGTCCAGCGTCAGCAGCTCACGCTCGACTTCGAGGGCGCTAACCTTCTCGCCGCCCGTCTTGATGATGTCGGCACTCTGACGGCCCTGAATAAAGTACATGTCCCCTTTTGCCCAGGGCTGGTCCGCAGCGCCGCCGCCGGCGCCCTCGACGGCCCGTCGCACGGCGACATCGCCCGTCTTGAACCAGGGCCCGCGCCCGTCGGGGTCAGTGGCGAACTCCTTTGGCGGGTGGCGGGTAGGGTTGCGCCAATATTCCTTGAAAATGGTCGGTCCGCGCAGCTGGGATTTCGCCGGCGCGTTCGCGCCCTCAGCATCGACGCGGTCGCCCCTCGGAATCACGGCGCCCGTGTCGGTGTCTACGAGGCGGGCCTCGACAGAGGGGAGCGGCCAGCCAACGGAGGCGTCGACGCGGTCAACGGGGGGCGAGCCACAGGAGAGGGGCCATGCCAACCTCAGTCATGCCGTAACGCTCGAGTAAGACGTTTGCCGCGCGAAAAGGCGGCGCCAGGCCTCCTTGACCGGGGTCGGCAGGGCGGCGGAGCCGGATATGGCAAGGCGCATGTTCTGTGGGGAGACGGCTTCGCGGGTGGGCTCGACGAAAGCTTCGGGGAGAGACTTGTGGGAGGAAAGGAGGCGGGAGTAGACGGTGGGCACAACAGTGAAGAAAGTAACCTTTTCCTTCGCGGGGGACGTGGAAGCATTTGTGAAGGGCGCGGCGAGCCGGTTCCAGACAGCATCAGGGTTGAAGGGGAAGAGGAACTCGATGGTGCTGCCGGCAAAGAGGGGCGTCAGGAGAGCGTTGATGGTGCCGTGGATGTGGTGGAGAGGGAGGACGTGAAGCAGGTGATCCAGGGGGGTGTACTCCCAGGCCTCGATAAGAGACTTCGATTGCGCTGTCAGGACAGACTGGGGAAGCAAAACACCTTTCTACGGCTTGTTAGCCTGGCGAGACGGGAGATGGGTCTGTAGGTTTCCATACTGGTCTATTTGTTGTGCCAGAAGTATATAGCATCATGCCAGCATCGCCGGGGTCGGAGCCTTCGAGCTGGACTGCCTCATGGGCGGCGCCTCCCATGTGCTTTTGCAGTTCGAGTTGCGCTGGTTTTGATGCCAGTTCGGTGGCGAGCACATCGCGCGCTTTGGCAAAAAATTTGGGCGATGATACCAGTAGCGAGGCCTCGCTCTGGTTGAGGATATACTGGAGCTCGGCCGCAGGGAAAGCTGGCGAGAGAGGTACGGCTATCGATCGAGTGGCGAGAGCGGCGAGCAGGGTCACTGGGAAATGCGCCATAGTCAGTCTTTGATCGACGCAGAGTACTTGTCTTGTTCTGCGCAATCTTACCTACGTAGTCATAGCTATTCTCTACAAGGAAAGCAATGCGCTCGCCATCCAGCACCGGCTTCCCTGCTGCGGCCTGTAGTTCATCGCGTGTTCTGCGAACATCTCCCAAGAGCTCGCCGTATTGAAACCTCCTCCCAGACAATGAGTGGATGACAGCTGTTGAATGGGGGTCGTGACTTGCGATGGCCTCAAATATGGGGAGTTTCGGCAGGGTGGAGGCCATTCGGACTGATCGTCGTGGAGAGGCGACGGGTGGCAACGGTGTTATACAGGAAGGAGGGGACGAGAGAAGAAATCGACGACATTGCCGCCGCGCGACATGCGTCCAGGTTGATGACGAGAACATGGCGGGGGTGACCGAGGGATGGAGCATGCAATTCCAATTCGCATGGAAGTGTATCACAGCAGGGGAGGAGTGGATAGAAGAATCCCTATTCGGGCATTGAGCTGCATCGACGAGGTGGGACGGCGGCGGGCGAGTCGGCTCCTCGCTTTGCCATTAGGACTCTACAATTGAAAGCCGAGGCCAAAGCGACGTCTGGAGGAGCTGGAATTGGTGCTGAGCTGGAGCTGGTGAACGAGGTGGAGGGGCAGCAGATGCAGAAGGGGTAAACAGGCCAGAGAAGAGATGGGCAGCAAGAGAGCACCGTACAGAAGCTTGCCCAAGGTACCTACCTCGTGCACAGCATGGTGATCCGAATTGATAACTCCCCGGCCCAGGCAGGAGAGCTCGAGCCCCATCTGCAGGTGCGGCGGCAGAACAGTGACCGCCCGGCCAAGCTCCCCGGGACGCAGACCGCTAAAGTGAACCAACTCACAGGCCCCCGCCCGCCTGCCGCTGGCACAACCCAGCTCAACGATACACACACACTGAAGCCCCTTCCGCCCCCGGGCCCTGACAAGCCCTGCAAGCCTGGCACACTGCGGTCGTGGAACAAACAAGGAGCCCACCCTCCACCAGGCCCACCAGGGGTGTGTTGTCCAACCGGTGGCATCGGAGCTCACAACGCTGGGAATGACGTGTGGACCAGCACCCCACCAGCTACCGACCGGAAGGGACAACGCGCGCGTGCTTCCCCGCTGATTGGACCTCGCTCAAGGCACCATCTGCACCTTGTGCGCCATGCTGCGACCCCGACATTCAGCGGTCAACACCTACACCGAACTTTCGGTGTCAACCCGTCCTTGCAAATTCTCTGCCGTCCCAGTAAACCCCGTCGATTCCAGCTCTGAAAGGGCGGGATCGCTTGCTTGGGATCTCCTGTCAGGCCGACACACAGCTCCTAGTCCTTTGCACGCTGCGCAAGAAACCTGGACCTGGCTACTCGTGCTCGATATTTCTTCTTCGCGTACCTTGCCTACGCATCCCATCCCCCTCCTCTTCCTCCCCCCTTCTTCTTTCCCTTCCATCCTCCTTCTACCATTATCCTTATGAGTTTCTTCCTCACTCCTCTGCTGGGACGGACTGCACGATCTGCTGCCGCTATCGCCACCGCCGCTACCTCCGCCGTCTCCCAGACCGTCCCCGCCGTCGCCGCCCTCAACAACTCGGCCAGCAGACTCGCCGTCGCCGCTGCCGCCATCACCACGCCGGCCCATATCCCAACCTCAATGTTGCGAAGGTACGCCCTCGGTTTCTCCAGCGCCGCGAGGCCTCTATCCACCATGTCGTCTACCACACCGTTGGAAGACGCGATCCGCTCCAAGGTACGGACGGCACAACCCAAACACCCAACTCTTGTCTCGAGCTAGCGGGGGTTCCCCCCCCCCCCTAAGGCTAACCTTGCACACCTCCCAGCTCACCGCAGCTTTCTCCCCTGCCACTCTTGAGATTCACAACGACTCCCACCTCCACTCCCACCACAAGGCCATGGTGGGGAACACATCCAAGGAAACCCACTTCAGGTAGGAGCGAACCCTTCCTCCCCCCCTCCCCCCCTTTACCAAGTAGTTGCATATTGGACCCCTACTGCAAATATCATGCGGCGTGCGGCTAACATCAGACGAAATTCCCAGGCTAGTCATCGTGTCCGACGCCTTTAAGACCAAGATGCAACCCGCCCGCCACCGCATGGTCTACGCGCTCCTCCGCGAGGAGCTCGGCCAGGAGAACGGCATCCACGCCCTCCAGCTCAAGACCCTGACGCCCGAGGAGGAGGAGCGTCACAGGGCTAAGGCTGCCGCCAAGGCCCAGGAGGCCGCCTCCGAAACCTGAGCTCTCCCAATAGGGGAAGAAGAACAACTTGTTGATTTTGACGGCAATCTGGTTTGATGAAGGACACGGGGGATCCTTCTCGTCAGGGGAATTGGCGGTGACCGGGAGGGCGGAATCGGGCATGACGAAACAACACGAAATTGCACATGACACAACGGCGCAGGGCTATGATATCCTCTTCTTGGGGCCTTTCTTCTTTTTTTTTTCTCTCTCCTTATCTTCCCTCCTTTTTTTCATCTTTCTTCCTGTCTGGCTTCCTCTCTTTCTCAACTTCTGACACGGACAATTTGTGCAAAAAGAGCTCCCTACCCTGGTTCAATTTGGCAGAGACACAGACTGCAGTAAGATTAAGGCAAACAGATACATTTTCGGGGGCTTAGATAACCGCTGCAAAGACTCCTCGGGGAGCAGGTTGTGCAACTCGCACTAGATCCAGGCTACACTTACACTGGCTGCCCAGGCAAAGCAAAAAAATAGACTTATCCGCTTTTTGGTTTTTACGATGAATCGCCCACCGAGTAGAAGACGTAGCAGTGGGAACGGGAGATTCAAAAAGGGGGGTCTGTTAAGTGTAAAGCTGGTTGTCTGTCATGAGTAATGTCTGATTTCTGCTGCCATGCTTTCCAACGAGGGAGACGGAACTCCCGAGTTCATACGTATGGGGTATCTTCATAACTAAAACGAGAAATTGTGCGCCCAACTTCTAGCAATTCCAGGCGTCTGCCGCAAGTTCCCTTTTCTCATCAAGAATGACTGGCCTTCGACCCCGCCATGCCCGGCAAACGCCCCGCGGCCTTCAGTTTCTCGAGTTTGAGCCGGTACTGCTCGGCTCGAACCGACTGCTTCTTCTGTTTCGAAACCCCGCTCTCCTGAGTCAACGTTGGGAGGCGGGACGCTGAAGGGCGGCTGCTCGACGGGCGCGATCCGGGACGCCACCTGCGTCTCTCTGGACCTCGCTGCTGAGTCCGCCGGCTTATTGGCGTGCGGCGTCTGTGGGCGTGCCTTTGTCCCCGCGGGACGAGAAGCTGCGGGGCAGGGCGCCGCGACTTGGCAGCGAACCGTCTGTGG